GACACTAAGCAAAAGGAAAGAAATGTATGTATCATCCAACGTGGAAGAAATAGTTGTATTGTCAAAGCTTATAAAATTCACACTTTATAGAGCATGATAATGACAATTTGCCTTGTGAAGGTTAAAATGTGTTTGTGACTTCAGGTATTACTATCCCACAATACTGTGAAATTTGTGAAGTTTATGTAATTACTTAATATCAATAAAAATTATAAAAAAAATGCATTTCCTCACTTGGAAATTGAAAAACTCTGATGCAATTCAAATTTACCTATGCATTTCTGAGAAGTTTCATGGAAGGAAGCCTTACATATTTTGGAAGACCCATATTGTACATAGCTAGAAACTGATCTAAAAGGTTGCAAGTGGAGCGAGATGAAGAGGAGGCAGTTCTTTAAACATTAGCTAAGTTTTGTGGGACTGACCGCCCAATGGCAGATGAGGAGCAGAACAGAAGCTAGGCACTGATGGTAATGGAACACCAGGGACCACATACTCTGAAAAGAAACCACATCTTTCCATTCTCTACCATGCCAGCAAGCATCATCAAAGACCTGACCAGATACGATGTCAAATACTGCTTTTTAGAAGATTACATTCACCATTACTGCATACTGCCCCAAATGTTTTCAAAGACAAGGACACTGATTCAAACTGGCCATATTCAACACATCTAAAGCCTTCTAAATAAGATTTTCTTTTTTCAGAGGCCAACAAAGACTTTCAAGCATTTACTAGAAATAATTCAAATAAAAATTTCTTTCAAAAGAATTTTAAAAAACTATTTAAGGGAACACTTAAGAAGCCAAGCCCACATTCTGTACTACTTTGGAGGTGAAAGTAGAGAACACAAGGCATCTGTCTGTCATTAGAAAGCACATTGGTCAGTCAGTCTGAGGTCTAGGGCTAGTCTGCAAAGGGACACAGAACTTTTAGGGGTGGTAGATGTGCTCAAGACTTTGATTGCAGAATGGTTTTGCAAGTTGATACAGGTATCAAAACTCATTATAACTGAGGTGGTTCTAGGGTTTGAACTCAGGACCTTGCGCTTGCAAACCATTTTAGCCACAGGTTTAGTGATGTTCTTGCTTTGTTATTTTTTAGATAGGATCTCTTCTTTATACCTGAGGCTGGCCTTAGATCACAATCCTTTTAGCTATGAATCTTAACACTTGGCTTTGTATGTTAAGATAGAGTCTTGCTAACTTTTCTTTTTGCTGACTTCAAACTACAGTCTTCCCACTCAGATTTCCAGTTGGCTGGGATTATAGATGTGAACCACTGCACTTGATCTCATCTCTATACTTTTAAATGGATACAATTTACTGCATATTTATATTCTAGTTAAAAGAACCCCTCTTAAAATAAGCAAGAACAAGAAACACCAAAATAGGGGGTGGTACACATGGAAGGGGAGGGTATGTCTTAATTCCTTGTAGAATGGAGAACAAATCTTGTTTGTAGACCAGGCCCCATGGTAGCATTTACTTGGATATCCATTTTTGGTACATCTTTCAATTGAAGGGGAGAAAAATGAAGTAAGTAAACGTAAAAGCAGGAGCAGCTCAGAACTTGAAGAGAATTTTAAATTCTAGAATGGCACAGGTTAGAGTGGATTTAGGTTTAAGACACAGGAGTCTTAATGCTGGTTTTGTGGCCACTCTATTGGTAGCCACGAAACCTCTTCTCTTCCTGAAATCTCTTCTCTTCCTTTGTCATTCAATTGAAAATGTTTCCTGTGTTCTTTTCCCAGCCTGGGCTGCTGAATGGCAGGATTTTCATGCTTGAAATTCTACCTAAACCAGATAAGATATAGAAAAACAGCCACAGCAGTAAGCTAGCTATTAGCACCTTGGAGATAGGAATTGTTTGAAATGGGCATAAAATTCTACATTACAAATAGTTCAGCTTCTATAGGTGACCAGTAAACAGTCAAGAAATAAGCAAAATAGGGGCTGGGAAGGTGGCTCTGTGGTAGAGCGCTTGCCTTGAATGTCTGAGGCTCTGGGTTCAATTCCTCAGCACCACATCAGCAAAAAGAAAAAAAGCCGGAAGTGACGCTGTGGCTCAAGTGGTAAAGTGCTAGCCTTGAGCTGAAGAGCTGAGGGACAGCGCCCAGGCCCAGAGTTCAGGCCCCACGACTGGATCCCCCCCCCCAAAAAAAAAAAAAAAGAAAAAAGAAATGAGCAAAATAATGCACTGGTATAAAGGCAAAGATTATTTAAAATGTATGCCTACCTATAAGTTGGAAGGTTAGTTTACAAAGAAGTGAAATACCATAACCTAGGGGAAACTAGTTTTACTAGGGGAAATTAGATCTTAATGACAAAAATCACTTACATGCTGTGTTGTATTTCATAGAAACATTCCTAAAACTGTGAAGAACACCCACTTAATCCTAAAACCTAATTAGCTAATCACCCAACATCTCAAAAACCATGATTATAGCACCCCAGTGTTGGATATTCTACAAACACTAGTGTTTTAGCTTGTATTAGGTTCTGTACAAACAGTATACCTCATTGCTCATTTGCTGATAGAAGGAACCCACCACTTTTGCATACCAGGTTAGAATAACAATCTGAATTTTATTAAAAACAAAAATAAATCTAAAAAGCTTCCTTCCATTACATACTATGCACAAGAGTTTCTGCATTACATCATTTTACATTAAAATGTTCTGAATGACAGAATTAGAACTTACTACCAGTGAAGAGAGGTGCTGGGCACTGAAAGCCACACACATTTAGAGAAAGAAACCGAAGTTTCACAGACCTGGAATTGCTGGCCACAAGCAGGAGATAAAATGAGGAACATGACAGAAACTTGAAGAAGAAACAACATCCAATATGCTAAAATACTTCAGGAAAATATAGTCAAACATTAGCAAATAATGTTTAAACAAATCTTTCCAATATGCTGTTTTGTTATCAAGTAAACATTCTTAACTTTTTATTCAACCTCAAAAAAGCAATTTTTACTGCCTAGAAGTATTTCTCTCAATTAGATAAAAGCTTTGCTTGCTTTCCCTGGAGGTGGCAATGCAGTGTAATTAGTATTTGTTCAGGGATTGCTTGAGTATCTTAGACTAGAACAATTTAGTGACTTGTTTGCCTTTCTGTTATTGCTGCTCCCAAAATATGAGAGTTAGAACAGATGATCAAGTGAGAGTAGGAAAACAAGTTTGGCTCCTTGAAATCATGTCTGAAAGTGTAATGTGTGAAGACATTGATGAAACTGACTGTGGATTCCTATTATGCCCAGTGTCCTTTTGCCATTTAGAGATAATTGGAACTTGAAAGTATGCAACTGACAATGAAACTACTTAAAAACAAACCAGAGAAAGGCTGAACTGCACTTAATGTCCAGGACAACTACAGTACTAAAAATCCCAAGGAATTTATTGTAAACAAATAAGCAACTGCCTAACAACCTTTTGCATTTGGTATGATGCCTAACTACTATTTTAATCCATTTACCTATTTGGATATTTTAAATGAAGTGACTGCATATAATAATAATAATAATGGTAATAATCCATTTAACTATGTTATGATAGAGCAAAACACATCATTGGCCAGAAATGAAATTTGAAACTTGTAACACTAAATACTGATGGAAAAAGCTAAGCCTTAGCATTTACACTTAAACACATCTAGATATGCCGCTTACAGGTGAATGGGGCCCTTCTGGTGGAGTGACAGATGTACTCAAAGCCTAGTGCCAGGACCAGCTTGGCTTCGCTATAGTTACTTTCTGTGTCAATTTTATTTCACCACTAATATGTTGGGTTCAATATCAATTTCAGCTAAGTAATACAATTAGTTTGTAATAATAACCCTTCTCTTTCTTAAGCAAGTGATAGAAGACACTTAGTTCCCAAGAGCTACAAATGACACAACTTAATAAAAGATACCTTTACCTTTATTGCTTGTATACAGCAGGGATTCATTATAAAACTCAGGGGGAGGAAGGAAAATAATGCTTTGCTTTAGCATTTTTAATAATACTTTTAATAACTTCAATTTGCTTATCTGAAACAGAGGGAAAAAAACTATAATGCCATCATGATGGAGTTCTAGCAATCTGAGTAATTATGCTTCATTTTTTATTTTCTCTCCATAAAACATGTATATGATAAAAAAAAAACAAGCCTGATGGTGACTTATTTTAACACCAATTGAAAAAACCAAGCTTGTACAGTTAATATTTCACTGATAGTTTATTATTATCTTTAAGTTACTTTGAAAGTTGGTAGCAAAGTACTGTTAAGAATATAAACATTCTCCTGATAAGTGTTGAAATTCTCTCACAAGTGCTGAAAGGCAGCAGGCATTGCAGAATGGGCTTGCCAGAGTCTAATGTCTAGGCTAGGTAGGATATTTATGGATTATTTTTACTTCTTTAACTTCCACTACTAAATAACTTCTCCTGCTTTGCCTGCTTTATTCTTCATTTACAATGACAAAAAGAAATCTAAGCCCAAGCCATTCACCTGGAGCAATTATTTCTATCTTCCATGATCTCAGTATTTTCAAATATATAGTAAAACAATTCATAATCATTACATGATCGTTTAAGCTAGATCATGTTCTTTTGCATTTAAACTTCACTTGATTGATATTAACAGTAGCCATAAAAGCCATTGTTTAAATAGCCACAGATTTAAAAATATTTGTCTTTAAAAAAGAGCTCCATTTTGCTCAATGTATTACAAACAATTTTTAGTCTAGTGAAAATTAGCAAACTGCTTTCATTAGGCATAGCAGCTGCCACTTACCTGTAAATATTTTATGGGTGGAACCAATGGGACCAAGTTCAGTACTGACCCAGTTAATGGGATCAAGTTCAGTACTGATGTGCTGCCATCAAAGCCCTCGCTCACTGAAGGTTCTATATTTCTGCAGTGTCCCACCAATTACTGTAGATCTATAATACCCTGTCTTTAACTTGGTGCATACCACCTTATGGAAAAACAGTGATTACTTCCTTGAGATGAGATACAAAAACCACACCATTCTTAAGGTTCTACCTCCAACAGGGGAACAAATAAGGATGATGTTTGCATGTGGCAGATAGTATGATTCCCCATGTTTGCTTAGGCTAGCCTCACACAATGAGCATGCATATACAGCCACAGTTCACTGCATCTGTTCTGAAGTTGAGAACTGCTGTGTATCCAAGTCACAGATACCATCACGTGATTCAATGAGAGAGTGAACTTGCATATAGGACATGGGAAGAAAATAAACGACGTAACAATGCAGCAAAGATAGGCAGTTGGCATTCAGAACACACCAAAAAAGCTAACCCTCATGAGTTTTCATAGGGTTTTTCTTTTCTTAAAAAAAAAGTCTTTCTTTGCATATTTTAAAATTTAACAATCCCAGAGAATCATGAAGTGCCTTGTCGCTTTTGCTGTTGACTTCTGATGACCTCAAGTTGTTTTTTGCATTGCTGGTAGTAAGTAGAAAGGCTTTTGTTTTCATCTAAAAGCTTTTTATGTTCCTGTACCAGACGAGATGTGTTTTGCTGGTCCTTTTCATCCTGGTCCAATTCTGCAACTAGTTCTTGCCTAAAAACAAATACCAACAAAAAACATTACACACGATGGAAAAATTCATGGCTTTACCTACTGTGATGATGGAAATGCAATTAATGAGAAGTTTTCTTCTGAGTCTATCATTCTGGATCTTAAGTACACTAGTCAAGTGAGATTATGGGCCAGAATGGAAATTATCACCCACTCTCTGGAGCAACCACACAAATGCCATAATCCTTTCAACAAGTGCCCTCACTTAGACAATTAGTGAAGCAGATAAAGTGGCAAAAATTTTCATTTGATATACTTGTTTTGAGTAGGAAGGAAGAAAAGGGAAATAAAACACTTGAAGTTTTTGTAATTCATATTCTCTACACCCGTGTACTCATGTTCACATCTTCAAGTCACAATCCTATGAAACTCTAGCACTCGCTAACAGGGCATTTATAAGCTAATTAAAAAGTGATGCTAACCCACTGAGGTTCTTTCCTATTTTGAAACCATGAGGTGAATACAAAGTACCACAACTGAGCTACACAATTCACAAACACTTTTCACAAAAGATCCTCAGAGTCTTTTTCATAATCTGACAAACTTCTTGAAGTCTCTTTTGTTTGGGTGACATTAACCATTAGTTTCTAAAGGGAGGTTATCAGATATAAGTGAATAAATTAATACAAAGCCTTTAAACACAATTACTTCCTAGTAGTTCTCATTTAAGTGATGAAAAACTGTCACCATTTTCACAGTTCCCAACCCTTGTCACATTTTCCGGACACAGATCTCTCGTTTCAGAGGATTCGAGTAGGGAAGTGCACAGGTGCATGTGTGGACCTAGGACTGAAGGGTTCTCTCAGAGTGCCGGAAATTCCACAATGAATTCTACTCTTTCCAGACTATAATGTTTAATTTCTTACCTGGGATTAGCTTTAGGATACCAAATTGATTTCATTTAAATCAATAAACTGTGACAAAACTATCTTCTTCTTTTTTGAAGCAAAAAGAGAAAACTTCACAGATCACTTCGGAAAGTAAGCATTTTCATTTAGATTCAAATTAATAAAGGGGATTCTATTACTGTACATAAACATTTTAGTCACTACCCATAAATGTTTCATAAGTAGAACATTTTGTAAGTTACTTGGAAAAAACGTTGCTTTTTTTTTTTAAAGCTGTAAGTACATACTATGGGAATTGGACTAAATTGAATTTCTCTCTCTCTCCCTTTCTTTCTTTCTTTTCTTATCTTTCTTTCTCTCCTTTTCTTCTCTTTTCTTTCTGTTGGTTGTGGGGCATGAACTCTGGGCCTGGGAGCTGTCCCTGAGCTCTTCAGCTCAAGGCTAGTACTGCTCTACCACTTGAGCCATAGCACTACTTTGTTTTCTAGTGGCTAATTGGAGATAAAAGTCTAATGGACTTTCTCATCTGAGCTGGCTTTGAACTGTGATCCTCAGATCTCAGCCTCTTGAAGTAGCTAGGATTACAGGGGTGAGCCACCATTGCCTGGCTTCTAATATATAAATATAAATATATATATATATATATATATATATATATATATATATGTTAATAGGCAGGTCTTGTTACATAGCCCATACTGGTCTTATACTTGTGATCCTCCTGCCTCAGCTTCCTAAGTGTGGGATTATAGGTGTTTACAACCACCCCTGGCCTAGAGTTCCTAAGGATGAAAAGAAACCAGTTTCTCTAACTCAGTAAAACATATATTTTAAAAAACCTATTCTTTTAAACATCCATCTGGAAAGAATATACAAAAGTCTCTTAAGTCAAAGCAAAACTGAACATTAGAAAGCCAAATTATTTTACATATGGCTAAGGAAAATCTTTTTTGGGGGGAGGGGTCACATTGTGGGGCTTAAACTCAGGGTCTGGGCACTTTCCTGGAGCTCTTTTGCTCACGTCTATTGCTCTACCAGTATAAGCCACAGCTCCACTTCCAGTTTTTGAGTGGTTAATAGGAGATAAGATCATGGTCTTTCCTGCTCAGGCTAGCTTTGATCTCAGATCTCAGCCTCCTGAGTAGCTAGGATTATAGGTATTAGCCACCAGTGCCCAGATAAAATAATACATCTTAATAATAATAAATCTAAATACCTTTTAACTTGCCTATAAGACACTTGGGTTTGTAGTACTAGTTTACTTCCCTTAGCACTAATAAATACAATATGTCAAAAGGGCTGAATTTAGCATGAAAAATATTTAATATAATTTCATACAAATTTTAAGCTTGAAATGTGTTTAGTGACTAATACTAAAATTCAAGTTTTCATGTCTTCAATCAAGGCCAATACTTCTGTTTATTTTTATTCAGAAAAAAACTTACTTTCTCTGTAATAACAATGCAATTTCTGTCTGAACTTTCATATATTCTTGTGCCATTTTACAATGCTGTTCAAACACTGCCATAGATTCTTTGGAGTTAGGGCACGGTGCAAGAGGCTGAAAGAAATCAGGAATGTTAAAAAATCATTACATCAAACTCCAGTATCTAGCTAAGAATTAAGAAACAGACTGTTAATATATTTTTATAGCACAAAGCAATACTCTTTTAAAAATAAGGCATAAACCAGGCCATAGGAAACTGCAGTGTTAACCCAGACTTTAAGTTGACATTTTGCTGTTGTAATTCTTTTTTGTTCTGAAGAACTATGACTAGAGTACTTGAAACCTCTGGTGTGGTATTTCAGGACAAAATACATCATACTGAATGCTTTTTGGGGGAGACACAGGGCTGTGTTGCTCAAGCTGGCCTTGATTTCTAAGTCTTTTACCTCCGTGCTCCTTCCTCCCCCCAAGTTAGCTGGGATGACAGCCTTATACCACAATGTCTGGTTCCTAAGAGATGTTCATGGCTCTTGTTTCCAAAAGGAATCACTGAAATATATACTTACACTTTCCGTCTTAATAGACATGAGAATGCATGAGAAAGTATACTAAATAGGAATGAGCATATGTTAGGAATGCACTAGAATTAAAGAGTGAAAATGCCATGGCAATTTTGAAGATAGAAAAAAATTTTAAGATGGCTGTTAGAATAAAAGCATATGGTTCTGTTAATTTTATACCTGATTAATTGAGCTAAAAAGCTTTTCATTTGATTTTGAGGCTTAAGGAGGCCAACTAAAAACATGTAAATCAACATGCAATTGTCACCTTTAATCAAATCAGCACAATTGTCAACCTCATAAACTATCTAAGAAGCAAGCAGCAAACTTCTACCAAGAAAGTACTCCTTTACCTGTAGCTGGTGATCCAGTGTAAGATAAGCCATTGGGATTGAGTTATCTGATCCATTGGTATCTGAAATTCAAGCAGAATAGTAATACTTTGATATGTACGACTGAGAGTGTAAGTTTATACTTCAGTGATTGCTCCTGGGTACATGCAAGCAAGAAAATACGTTCATAGAATCTCATTTTCTCCCCTAAAGTAACACATTAAATAAAAGGTATTGCAATTGGTAAGAAAAAGAGTCTGCTTTGGAATTCTAGTGATTAAAAAAGAGGGTATCAGTTACAAAGTATAAGTATATTCTAAAATTTAAATTGACTGAATAGAACATAGTATGTTAAAGCTTAGTAAGGCCTGTTTAAGCAAAAAACAAAAACAGTGATAGGTAGCCTTTCTATTTTCATTTCTTTACCATGCTCAGTTTATGAGAAGGCTTGCTCAACTCTGTCAACCTAAATGTCCACAGGGAAAGGGGAAAACTACTCTCTTTGAGTGGTTCATTTCCAACTTATATAGGTTTTAATATGAAGTCTTTATCCAGCCTATACTGGGAGTCACTGAAGAAAACTGAAGAGTATATTATACATACAAACAGTATGGAAAGAAAATGGAAGTTTAGAAAGAACTGTAGCTCAATCTCACATACCAAATAATCATATTACTTCAAGCATTCCGCCAATTTTACTGAACATCAGGTTGAATGTATGGCTTTTATGTTTCTAATCAGGTAAAATTGCCACAGAGTGGTGTAGACAAGACAAGGTGAGAATAACAGCAAAGGCGCTGTATTCACTCCAATGAAAAACTAAGGAGATCTGATTATTCACAAATCTCCTAACTTATTGATGACTGATATTCTAGGTTTTTCTTTTAAAATTTTGCAGTGGTGGAGACTGGACTTAGTGCCTCTTACTGAGCTATGCTTCCAACCCTTAGGCATTCTTTCAGTCACTGAGCTGGGGGTGTGCTGTGCACTTATAATTCTAGTTACTCAGGGAGGCAGAGACAGAACTGTAAGTTGGAGGTCAGCCTAGGCTACACAGTAAGAACCAAACAAAGTCACTGAGTGTGCTAATAAACAAAATTACACAAAATGAGGAGAAGACCAAATGAAGTCAAGCAGGAAAAGGCAATTTATAAAAGGAGTGGTATTCATCAAGATCCAAAGTACTTGTAAGCTGACATGTTGAATAGAAAAGCCTTTGTGGAACCACTTAAAGATAATAAAAATATACGTTACAATTGGAACTTCCCCTGGCTCCTGTGCTCTTGGGCTGGCTGGCCCTCACAATCCTCCCATCTCAGCTTCCCAATGGGAATAAGTAATGTTTATTAAATACGGCAATGTGACAGAAAAAAATGGAGTAGAGCCTTGAGGCATCTACCCTAAAATAACACACATGTATTTCCCAAAAGTGGTAAACAAAAAATACAGTTAATTTGTTATTTTTTAAACCAACCTTTCCTCCAGCCCTCAAGAACAGTTTCAAACGTACATTGCTAAACAGAAACTACTTTCCACAAAACTAAAACTGACTAAAAATGATGTCTCTCCTCTGCCTGACTAAAACTTAAGTATCTTGAAAAAGCATTCTCAATTTGACATTTCCACCCCTGTGGTTCTTTACTAAATCACTGACACCTTATATAACTCATTATATCATATACTTATATAAATGATATATATGTAAGTATATATATGATATATGTATACTTACATACACACATATATACACACATACTCTAGAACTAAGTATCTAAATATAATACATTAGTATTTTACTACACTGAGGTATCTAATACATTAGTATTTTACTACACTGAGGATAAAGCAACAAACTATATTGATTCAAATATGCTTTTCCATAGTGAACTGAATAGAACTTTATTTTTTTCCCCTAAAACTTCTAAGATTTCACTTTCTTACATGTAGCTAACTTGAAACTAAGCATCCAGCTTCTAATATCTATAATTGGTCACATGATAGCAAGATACAGTAGTATTGGGAGTTTGAAGTCAAGACTTTGTACTTATTAGGCAGGTACTCTGCCACTTGAGCCCCACACCCCAGCACTTTGCTTTGTTTTGAGACAAGATCTTATTTTTGCCTGAGCTAACCTGGACTACAATCTGTTTTATAACTTATACCATGGCTGGGATGACAGATGTGCCCACCTTACCTATGCTTTTTTATTGGGGGGGGGGGTCTGGTCGTGGGTCCTGAACTCTGGGCCTGGGCGCTGTCCCTCAGCTCTTCAGCTCAAGGCTAGTGCTCTACCACTTGAGCCACAGCACCACTTCTGGCTTTTTTTTCTTTTTGCTTATGTGGTGCTGAGGAACCGAACCCAGGGCCTCATGCCTGCAAGGCAAGTGCTCTACCACTGAGCCACCTTCCCAGCCCCACCTATGCTTTTTTGTTGAGACGAGGTCTTATATATTTTCTACCTCCTCAGCTGGCCTTAACCTGTGAGCTCAGCCTTCCAAGTAGCTAGGATTACAGGTTTGAGCTACTGCTTGGCTGAAAGTATTTTTTCTTTTTTAACGTTTCAACTGTTAATACAATTTAGTGTTTCACTTAAATGTTAAGACTTAGAATGGTTTTGTTAAGTTAGGTAAAATTGTTTTTTCTGTTCTTACCAATACAATCCCTTTTTTTTGGGGGGGGGGTCTGGTCGTGGATCCTGAACTCTGGGCCAGGGTGCTGCCCCTCAATTCTAGCTCAAGGCTAGCACTCTACCACTTGAGCCACAGCGCCACTTCCGGCTTTTTTTTCCCTGCTTATGTGGTGCTGAGGAATCGAACCCAGGGCCTCATGCATGCAAGGCAAGCGCTCTATCACTAAGCCACCTTCCTAGACCCCAATACAACCCTTTTGCCATTTAAAATGTTTATGGGTGAGTTCCCCTCATGTGGGAATACTGCTTTCTCCCTTCTGTTGTATGACTAATAACCAAAAAAAGGATTGTACAAGATCTGAACTTATTTGTCTCTTGTTAAAACACTCAGCTTGTAAATTTAGTAGTGTAATATTATGAGCACCTCATGAATGTGTGTCACAGCAGTATCACGGTTATATAGACTGGACCATGTTTCTTATGCATCTAAGTACTTTGTCTAGAATGCCGTGAATTCGCATTCTGTGGCTCCCTCTGCTGGTCTAGGTTTTTCTCTCACTAGATTGATACTCTGGGTATGTCGTCTTTTTTTATACTCATTATACATAAATTAAAACTAAAGAGTGCTCATTATCTGCTGATTATTAAATTATGTGTTTTAGTTTTCCTCTCAAAATACATGGAAAACACTGAAATAAAATACATTTAAATACATAGATTTATATAAAAATACCTTATTAAGTAGGTTAACTTATAATAACACTAATAATTTTTACTGGGTCAATGGAGTTTTCAAAGAAAACACCTTAACTATTTGTTCCTTATACTTTATTCTATTAGGGACAAATTATTGTATGAAGGGATACATCTGCAAAACATTTCAAAGCAAAGACAAAATTCAGTTGCTATTGCAGCCTGGGATCAGGCAGTATTTTTAGCTATTGTTGTTGTTTGGCATTTTTAGGTATGGGAAAAGAAAAGAATGAGACAGGGGTAGAAGGGTAGAAGTATACAGGGGAAATAAAATCTTGATTTTACTTCTGTGACTGACAACCTGCTGCATTGTTGATTCATGTCTAGACTAGTTTAGACTGAAGTTTGGAAGCTCTGCCAATTTGAATCCCAGACCTGAACAAATGTTGTAATGTCAGGAAGAGTTCCCTTGGTTCAGGAACCAAAAGGAGCTGGCAGCACCTGAATGTTAATGATAAAAGCTGGCAAGACCATTTCCCTGTCGTCCCCATTGGAGAAGAGAATGTCTATGATGAATTTTAAACATGTGCTGAGTAGCAGTGAGCTGTGATGGGGATGAAACTTAGCAGAGTTTTTCTACCACTAAATTTAAACTTACTAAAACTAGACAGTACGCTGTGGCTAATCATAGTTTCCTCGTACATGACACAGAAAAAAAAAGCCACCCACTTAATTTTTTAAATTAAATTATAAAGTTGATTAAACCATGCCAGGTATCTATAAATATTTGAATTGAATTTTAGTTGCTGAAGACAGAAAGCTGACTTTTAAATTTCAATTTAGTTGCAACTATTAATAACATAGCTGATCTTACGTAAAATCTCAAATGGCTTAATTTTCCAAGGTCTAAGAGATCATCTTTCCTCCTCTGATCTAATAAATATAAATAAAAAATTTCATTTAACTAAACTGCTAGGTATTTGTAATGATGTTCTCTTAATCTCTTACATAAAACTAACTTATTATATTTTTACATAAGTGAAAGTTAATTTCACTAAATGTAATATTCACTGCTTGTCAACACAAAACTATTCCATCTGCACCTTCAGTCGGGTAGGTTTTAATATTAACATTGTGATAAGTTATTTGTGTTTGGGAAGTTCTATGGCTCGAATAGGCTTTCAAAGGTCTGTGTAATGAAGTTCTCCCTATCAGTTAAAATGATTCATAAAGTCAATAATCAGATGTTTGTGTTCTTACTAAAGCAAATGATATCTGTGTCCTTAAAAGACGGAAATGAAGATGATGGTGGTTGTTTTTATCATTTTGATTTATTTGAAGCTCTGACTGTCACCCAGGGGAGTGGCTCATAACAGAAAAATCAGACTGAAGCATGAAGAATATCCTTTCAAACCTAAAAAAAAATTAACTAAACAAAACAGGCTTCTTAACTAGAAAAAAACATTCCCTAACTATTTTCAAAAAATCGGTTTAGTTCCTGAAAGCAAAAAATTACAGAATTGGTCAAGATCGTTCAAAGTACTTAAAACAACATTTGAGAATTTATTGCTAAATAGCTAGTGTTCTTAATATAAAATCTAAACCACTGTGTTTGTCTTAGTAAAGATTAATGCCAGGCCTAAATGCACATGAACATGATGAATTCGATTTCATAGTACAGTGAGGAAGCAGAAGGTCACCTGTGGAATCATCAGGGGTCCATGGATGACTTCGAGTTGGCTTTTCTGAGGTTGGTCCTGAGGTAGTGATCATTCTGATACTAGGACTGGATGACCTACTGCTCACCTGTAAGGAGTGACAGAAGAAAGAAAATGTGACTTCTTTTTGTTGGTACTAGTTTTAACTCAGGGCTTCCTGTTTAATACCCTTGCCTGCTTGCCCTGCTGGAGCTTTTCCACTTGAGCTATGCCTTTAGCCAGCATTTTTAGAGAAGTGTTGAAGACTTTGCTACCCAGGATGGATTTGAACAATTATCTGGTTCTTAACCTGCTAAACTACTAGAATTACAGGTTCATGACACCCAGCTCAAAATGTGACTTTTAACATAATTTTCATTTAGAGGCAAAAAGACAGACTTCCATTTTCATTAATAGAGGACCTAAAACATTCCTGAAAACAAAAATAAACCTTCCAAGAATATTTATTACCTATGTATATGTAGAAATTTATATCCACTCATACACAATACTTATTCAAAACTGCTGAGCTGGAAAGAAATACTCTTGAGCCAGAAACAAAGCAAGGGGTTAGGAGACTAGGAAGCGTTTAAGCTGCTGGTCTTGTACTTCAGCTACGGGCATCAACTGAATACCAGGCCTTAGAACTTTCATTTTAACAGAGCTTTGGGCTTCTGTAGGATAGGAGGTAAGACTGGAGAAATTGTTAAAGCTAAAACTTCAACAAGTTTCTTTTGAACTTAAGGCCTCAAGTTCTTGCTCTGCTTTTTCAGTCATGGCTGTGCTTTACTACTTGAGCCATGCCTCCAGTTATGGCTTTTGGCTGTTAAATAGATTTCTTCAATTTGTCTGCATGGGCTGGCTTTGAATTTCAATCTTCAGATATCAGCCTCCTGAATAACTAGGGCTATAGATGTGAGCCACTAGTGCCTGATCAGAGTTGCTACTAAGAGAAAAAAGTAAGCTAGAAGAATAATTTACCAACAAAAGCACACAGCAAGCCATGCTGGTAATACTAGCATGTAGAAAGCTGAGGCAGGAGGATCTTAGGTTTGAGGTGAGTGTGGACTATATAATGAAACCCTGTCACTATCCCTACCATCCCCACCCATCACTCACACCCCCCCAAAAAGAGGGAAAGGAGCATAGTAGGTTAAGTCTTTCTTAATGGTGATTCTAGATGGAGTGAAGAAAAATGTATGTACTGTGTATCTATAAAGTATTTCCACAGAATCCATGGAAGACAACAAATCATGACTATAAAAATATGAAGTATATACAAGAAAACCTACATCCTGAGTTCAACAGAGGACATACACAGTCAAATACAAGAAAGACAAATACAAGATAGAAATAGCATGCAAAGAGAAAAGGCAGATTACAGGTTAAGCAACTCTAATCTCTCAACCTGAAACTAGAGGTTCTGAAGCAGGAAATTTACAGAATGCTGCCACTGTGCCACTTGTCAAAAACTCCACACCTGACCTCATGTGACAAGTCATAGTAAAAATACAAGTACACTATAAAACACTACATAAAATCACTTTCAAGCTATGAGCATAAGGTACATATAAAAAATAAGCTTTGGGGCTGGAAAAGTGGCTCAGTGGTAGAGCGCTTCCCTCGCATACATGAGGCCCTGAGTTTGATTCCTTAGCACCACATAAACAGAAAAGCCAGAAATGCTGCTGTGGGTCAAGTGGTAGAGCGCTAGCCTTGAGCTGAAGAACTGAGGGACAGTGCCCAGGCCCAGAGCCCCATGACCGAAAACACACACACACACACACACACACACACACACACACACACACACTCTCTCTCTCTCTCTCTCTCTCTCTCTAAATAAGCTTCATGTTTAGAGTGATTCATCCCCAACTGCAAGTATTTCAAAATCTGAAAAGTGTGAAACTGTAAACAACTGGTTCCATAAATACCAGATAAGGAGTACTTAATTCTTATCCTTAGTACAAGTTAGATTCTTCAAAGCAACAGGAAAGCCAGAATAAAGTGAAATGATATTTATTAAGTGCTAACAGAAAACTTGTGGCAATCTCAAATTGATTGGCAAACAAAAATGTGAAGAATGTAATCAAAATATCATTCACACACACACACACTCTTTCTCTCTCAGGTGAGCAAAAACTAAGCTTACCATCTACAGATACCCTAAGTTTCTAAGCATGTAATTTAACAAAAAAGTTTTTCCTTGCGTGAAGGTCCAAGATACAACTAGGAATATTGATGCAAAGGCCTAAGTGTACATGCTGAAAATACTAAGAGACTGAAACAGTGATTTATAGAATTGCCAAACATAGTAAAAACAAAATATAAATAACAATGCTACTAGCAAGAACACTGACTTCCATTTCCTAGTTTTGTTTAAGTAATGATATTACTAGTTGGCCATGGATGTTGAAAATTTCTAAAGTATTTAGTAAAAATAGTAAACTAAAACTTTCAAATGTAAGTAATTTCTACTGTTGTATCAGACATCTCCAAAATTTAAGTTTCCTTCATACTAACCTTACAAAGGTAATTTGTGTATTATGGTCATCATCCTCTCTCCTAATTCTGTAAAGTCCAGCTCGGCCTCCCTTCAATGTTACGTGGTTGTTCTTGCTGTTCTCATTCTTTGTGCATGGTCAGACCTTGTGTTTGAGGAAGAGTGCCTAACATTATACTGAATGCACTGTTTGCTCATTGGCTGTCACCATTCACTTCTGAAATTTTCACCCAGCAACACACAGCAGATAGATGTCACCCACTTAGACTATCTCTCCTTACAATTCTTTATGCCATTGTTTCCTTCTCAGTTTTTAATCCTGACGCTACATACATTCATTCATGGGCCATATGGTTATGTATGAAACTTGGACCCATATAAAACTTCCATTTTCTGGCTCCATTTTCATCAGCAATTTCACATCCCAATCATAGACCTTTTATAAAGCATATGAGTGGTTAAAATGTACCACAGGATTTTCCCCTTTTTCTTTTGGTTTTATATATACAGTCAGTTTCTATACAATCATAAACTTGGACATAAAATGCCTTGCACAAGTTTCCAGTTCCTCAACAGTTCTATTTCTTATGGGCAAAGATATTAATAAACACAAAAGAAATACTTAAAAATAAGCCATAACTTTATTTTTGAGTAGCTAAACAAACTACTCTGTAGATGCATTTCTGTTATTGCTTTCAAGCAATTATAAAAACCACCTTATTCTTCCAAGTAGCTATTTCTAAATCTCACTGGCCAAATCCTGAGAGCTATGAACTGTTAGAACTCATGTAGGTTGTTCTCTTCTTCAAGGCAGTTACAATCACTTTATTCTATTCCATATAAACTGTCAAGTTCACAAGATATAAATTGAACTTGACTTGCCACAGGACTGGATTTGAAAGTTGTTAAGAGAATACAGAAATGCCACACAGCAGAGAGCCTAGCAAAGAAACACTAAGCCAAATTTAAACTACAGGGGCAAATGACCATCAGCAGACATGAACTAGAACTGGCTTTTGACCAGAATTTTCTCTCTAAATTTATAAGAAGGAATTAGGAGTTATTTTACAGACAAAAATAAAACTGAGGCTTTTTATGTCTCACCTACAAGACTGGAGAAATGTTTTCATTAAGTAAAGAACTTCTGCCCAGTGCTACTATTTAAAGCTATCTAATACCCTCAGAACTCTCAGTTGCTAAAATTACATAAGCAAAAATCAGAGATTAAATGCTGACTTACAGTGGCATTTCCATAATATAAACAGTTTAAAAAATGGATTCACATGGGCACTTTCTCCATAATGGAAGCCACTCACAGGTACTTCAATTAAATCTATTCAAGATGGTGTTCTTAAAAGAATTCTTACTACTCTAATGATGTGAGGTTTGTTTAATTCTGGATCAATTAAAATTCTTTACAAGAAAATTGTAAAATTCTATTATTATTTAAACTATCAGTAGAAAGGTTAATATGAACCAGGAATTTTTCAAAACTATCATGCTATATATTTCTGATTGAGAGTTTTAGTAGAAAATTTATTCATACTAAAATGCAGACTGATAATGAACAAAGTAGGATAATAAACTGTATCCTTTAAATAAGTAATAGTAATGTACAGTAATATGTGAAAAAGGTAGTGAAAATACTTTTCATGTTCCTTGATACCAATTCTCTCATGATATGAAGAATAAAATGCCAGTGTATTTTTTTGTCCCAAGTGCTATTTTTGTAATAATACCATCATGAGAACAAGGAAGCTGTACTAAGGGCTACTGGAGGCACACCTCTCAGAAGGCAGGGAGATATGGATTAGCATTTACTGTGTATCTGGTATTTTCATGTGTAGGGAGAAATAAGGGGTGGGTAAAAAAATCTCTATTTGCAGATAGGGATGTTGAAGCTTGTGAGAATTAAGGAGCTTGCCCAAAGTCATGTATTTGGCCAGTAAAAGTAGGTTTTCAGGGCTGGGAAGGGGGCAGTGGTAGAGTGCTTGCCTTGCATGCATGAGGCCCTGGGTTTGAGTCTTCAGCACCACATAAGCAGAAAAAGCCAGAAGTGGTGCTGTGGCTCAAGTGGTAGAGCGCTATCCTTGAACTGAAGATCTGAGAGACAGCGCCCAGGCCCAGAGTTCAGGCCACATACATGACCGACCAAAAAAAAAGAGCAAGTTTTCAAGTCCACATAGAAATGCAATGTGTCTAAACCTCTAGATAATTGTAACTATCATCATGAAAACAGGGTTTTTCAGTGATGGTAGCTGCTTCTGGAGGAATCTTGAAAACAGATATTTATTGGATACAATACCAAACAAAACATGCATGAAGGCACACTTGGACTATATTTTCGATGTATAAAAAGTAAATATGTACAGTCATCTGTACAAACTTTGTATCATATCACTATTTATTAAGGGTTAGCCTTATATAAAGATATGGTGTAGTTAAATACCCTATCTTTAAAAACTCCTTTATGATGCAGAATTCCAGAAACCAAAATACTAAACATTTACAAGGATTACTCTGAACACATATTATACCCAGTTTTCTATGCAACAGTTGATAGTATGTACAGTTTCTGAACTATGGAATCAAATTTAGACTTAAAAACTGGTTATAACCCACGTTATTGGAAGTATAAGACAGAGACTTAGTTAAAGTTCTCTAATCCTCAGTTTCTCGCCTACAATTAAGAAATACAAATTACTTGTACAGGGTTGATATTAGACAATTAAGACTTACAGATCTGCTTGTAAGAAGTTTTGCATAACAAATGGCAAATGTTATTATGGTAGTTCTCTATTTGATAAGAGAATGGAACTTGTAACTCTTATCTGCCCCAATAGCTCCCTGGGGACTGGGCTTTATTGGTACTGCAAATACTGTCCAACTGTTTCCCTGGAATATATCTGTAATAGAAAGAGTTGAGTTTAATGTTTGTTGCAGTGAAGGAGAGCACTCTTGACGGGGTCCTGACAGGTTTTAGCAAGATGGTTTCAGAAATAACCTATTAGAGAATTTAGACGTGGGTGAGTGATCTTGATCTTTGGAAGGATCTATAGGAGAGTAGTTCCCTTTAGACTGGCTGCTGTCAACAGTAGGGACAATTCCATACAGAAATCAGATCAGTGTGATGATGGAGCCAAACTGTGAAGGAGTAGCATATTGGGAAGAGAACAGGACAGCATATTATGGGTGACATCACCTTGTTTTTGTTTAGATATTATAAAATTGACTTGTTCTGCCTCATTTTGCCATGGTCTCAGCATAATTTTCTTTAATATTGGTGTTCTGGGTGATTATATCTCATAAAACAATAATAAAGTCCAATACAGAGGCCCCAGTGTCAAATCAGTTCTTAGAGGCCTAGGGCTGTTTTGTTTGTTTTTCTTTCTTTTCTCAAAGCCCTGAGAAGGCTAGATGCATTATGAGTGCATTCAAAAAACTCTGATTAATTATAACTATGTTTAATAGTGAGTTGTAAGGTATGAAGGTATAATCTTCTACATACAGATTTACATTGCTAATTAAGAAGTTTACACTGTTTGCTATTCTGCTCAAAAAAAATACAAATACAGCAACCAATCAAGTTAATTTTAGTCTACAGAAGGAAGTCCAAGTGATTTTATTAAGATTATGTTGCAAGCAAAGAACCCAAACAAAAATTCCAGTCAATCCATGCAACAACTATAATGTTAAGGTCCTCCCATTTTCTCTGATAACTGTACTGGATGGGCTAGATTTTCTTCAGGTTCTTTACTAATTGCCAGGGCCAGGAAAAAAAAGAAACAAAAGAACTTGAGCAGCTGCCTAATTACTGCTTTAACAACTTTCAGAAAGAACCTACCAACAAGTTTTAGAAATTCATACTGTAAATACTTTTCCTTTTCAAATAATACATATTGCCTTCATAGTACTTAAGGAGATCTAAATTACTAGTCACTTATCAGAGATTTCAATAGGATTACTGTCTGCCACTCTCATCCTAAATGGACATTGGACATTAACTACTTAATACTTTAGTAATGTTGAAAAATACATTGATTTTGAACACCAGTTGTACAATAATGGTATAATTGATTATATCAACTATTTTTAGAACAGATGTTAGTGCTTTGACAAACTTTCTTTTTCCAAATCTTTTTGAATAGTCCATGACAATTCATGCAAATGACTGTTCTGCAACCAAAGCCTGCCTCTCATGTTTAACAAGATGTTGTTAAACAATTAATAATCACAATTCCAAGTTATACAGGACTTATGAAGAAATGAGTAAGGCCAAGTACAGGGATATCAAATGCTGAATTACAGCAATGCCTTTACTTAGAGTCCTGAGAAGAGCACAGCCACTCCTGCTGTGTCGTAGAGCAAGCTTCTCATTCCTAGTCAAAGGGAAGATACTTGGCTAGAGGTTCTCATAACTGGAATGTCAACAGCAATAGTAAAGACAGCTTAAAAGGCTGAGCTCATGAAGCCTCTACAGAATCAAAGCAGATGTCAAACTATCTGCTACTAAATGGACTGACAAAAAGCTTTCAAGTATTTGTGGGGGAGAAAAAGGGAAAACAGCAGCTGAAAGTTCTGAGGCTTCACAAAGACAGGTATGCTGAAAACACGGAATAAAGAGATAAGAGAAAATATAAGAGAGAATACAAGCCTTATACTTAAGATAAGGATTTCAAGCCACTAATATGACAAAAAACTATTAACAAAATGTATCTGTATCTCTTTGTTTTCAGGATAGATGTGTACATGTATGTAGGCATTATGGGGTATATATGAAATGTTTTGTTCTGTAGTTGATGGATATAAAAGACTTTCAAATTTTTTTTAGTAACGATAAACAATCTCCAAATTTTAAGGTATTTTATAAAAATGAAAATAAAAAAAAGAAAAAAAAATGAAAATAAAAAAACAACTTTCTAGTATTTAAAGTATTATACATATTATCACAAATACAATCATTGTTTATATTAAGGCATGCTAAAATTTCCCATAAAATATGGACCATGCTGTGATTTTTACTACTTCAGATGCATTCTGTATTCTTAAAATTACTGTACAACTGAAAATAAAATAATAAAAACACTAATTAATTCTTCATTTTAGAGAACAAGATTAAAAATGGTATGTCAAGTGCAGTAAGCTGAATAACAGGAAAAAAAATGACTGAGCTACTTGTATATAACTGGTAGTTAGAACTGAACTACAGTCAACAATGGCTGAAGTTAGCTCTGTCTGGGCTACCTCAAAGTGACAGTGGATGTTTAGAAGGACACTGAGACAAACACACAAGCCTTATACTTAAGATCATCCCTTGGCTTAGCAAATATTTTCTTGAGGATATTGCATAAAATACAAATCCAGTGGATATGCTAGATAAAAAGAGTTCTCCGGGTATTGCTAAAGCCTTGGGGTGACCCCAGAGGAGGGCATCTTACTGGGGAAACATTTATTCCCCTCATCAGGAAAAGGATGTAACACTAAGGAACAATGCCCATGACAAATTATTAAACTACAACACTAAATACTTTAAGACATGTGAAAATCATGTATAACGAGCACTACTGAATAACTTACTTTCCCATGCATTTTCAAGCAAATTACCCTAACTTTTGTAAAATTAATTATAGTAGCTATACTTCCTTTTTCATTACGTATGTGAGTGCCAATGAGGTTCTCCACCATATTTTTAGGTCAACTAATAAACTAATTTCACAAAATATCTTACAGTTAATTCTTAATTTCTATCATTAGTCTTCATAGGCAAAGAAATTGAATGTGATGTCTTACCTGACCAGTTTCTGTTCCAGTAACAGTCAAGTCTTGGATAGATCTCCGTCTTGGTTGTCCGTTGCCTTTTAAAAAATAAAAAGTAAAACACTGAAACCTATTCAAATAAGTATTGAGGGTGTAATTGCTACAACAGAAAGTTGTAATTTGGTGCTCCTTGGATCTCTATAAGTTGCTTGTGGGGGAAAAGAATGAGTTTATTGTAAAAAAAATTTTTTTTAATGTGAGAGAAATAGGGAGGGATGAGGGTGAGGGACAGACACAGAGGGAGGCAAGGGGGGAAGAGAGAGAGAGAGAGAGAGAGAGAGAGAAAGTGCTTCGATGCTTTAACTCAAAAGTTGCTGGCATATGTATGTCCTAATACAATAATACTCCTAGCACACGAACAGCTATGGAGCTGTCTTCTACCATCTTCTGTCATGTGTTTAAATAGATGAATGCTTGGGGGCTGAGGTGATGATGGCATCTATTTCAGGGGCCTTACGTTACAGTTTTTACAGCAAGTTAGCCAGCAGGTTGTAGGACAACTGATTTTAATGGGCAGTAGCATCTTCTTATAGGGCCAAAAAGGATGCTTAGGTTTAATTTTATTACATGGAGTCACAATTAATCCTATTACTTTTTGTCAGAAAGGAATATTCAACATGTGTGTATAACAGCTCAATTTCCTCTCAGAGATGAATGACTTTCTTTCCATTCTCAAATACACAGCTTGTGAAAATGAGCTATTATGTATACCATGTTTTGGAACTTCTATATTAATCATAGTTTAAAGAACTTAATTTAATAAAAAAAAATCCTACACATGTAAGTCTTCAACAAAGTAGAATGAATTAAAGAAGAGCTTCACTCACCACCTTTATTTGGGAATAGGGCTGTTTACACAGTATCTTCTAAGATGAGAGATCAGCTGTTTAAAAGGAAACACCAAAATACCTAGTAACAGCTGACACAATACTCAAAATTCTTTTGACTTTGAAAGCTAGATTATGTAATTTCTTAATTAGTGAGAAGTTCCCAGAACATACTCTCTCATAGTTGTGGTCCCATGAGCAAATCATGATAAAGTATAGTGTATGACCCTGGTATATATATTTTTTAATCTTATTTTAAAAAACAGTATAACTTAGCATCTTGAGCCATGTGACTTAGTTGTTTTGCACAAACCTAAATGGACCTTAAATGGAGTAAGAATTTTTAATGCAATAATGTGTATAGTGAATATAAAAAGTAAAATTCATAGCTACTCTTGAAAGTATAAGTAAGCATTACTTTCTTCCATTTTAGACTATGCTTTAGAATTCTTTGTAGAATCTGCATTCAAATAAACTCCAAATTTTATTTCATTCCAAAAAATCCCAACTGTTCATTACAAATTAAAACAACAAACTGTGCATATACTGAATCAGATACACTAAGATATCTTTATGAATACTTTTAATGATTCTTGTTTCCCAAGGACAAAAAGGATACCTCCTACAATGACTAATAAGCAATTTTAGGCACATTTCATTTAACACACTCATTCTAAAATTAGCGTAGATGAGACAGTCTTATAAAAGTGTCTGGAATTCTCTTTTCAGATCAGTAGCATTTGTGAATCTGAGAAACCACCCAGCACAAGTGTCTATAAGCCATTACATCACCATCACAGTAACAAAAATGAATTCAAGACTAAAGAGGGGAGGGAAGGGGAAGAGGAGAGGAGAGTAAAACTTTCAAGGAAGCAGGGTAAAGAAGAGCTGACAGTTAACAAATGTCATAAAATGAGAAATCTGCCAGCTATAGCATGAGTCAGAGCAAGCAATATTAGGCAATGTGTTTTAATTAGCATATCCATGGCAGAAACCATCTGGCAAATGATTCAGACAAAGCAAAGAAGGATTGCAATCAACAAATACTTGTTGCTCCAATACTAAGTTTAAAAGTCAAACAATTCTGAAATATGAATGTAAAATAAATCAATCTCCTATTATTGTGAATGAAAATTGCTGGGTATGTTCTTAAAAGTTGTGATTCTGAATTTTCTGCAACTGCATAATAATTCAGAAATTGCACTCCATTTATTATTTTTATGAATCTCTGATAATGTGCAAACCTTTACTACACATGGTAGTGTAAAAAAAAAGGGGGGGAGAGAAAACTGAGGGCAATATGATATAAACAGATGCCTGATCATGGAATCTGACACCTGAAAATGTCCTGTATTTTATTCGATAACAGATTCTGGAACTTTCATGGCTTTATAATAGACAAAAATGTGACGTGACTTTTAAGGAGGAGGAACTGAAGTATACTTCATATGGCCTGCCTGTGCTACACATCTTCCCTCATCCTCCTAAAAAGAAAGGAGTAAAGGAATGTCATTTAGATAGAACTCATCTCTTCTGAGAAACTGCTCTTTTAAGTACCAATAATTTTTTTTTCTTTTCTTTCTATTTTTTGTCAGTTGTGGGGCTTGAACTCAGGGCTTGGGTAACATCCCTGTGCTCTTTAGCTCAAGGTGAGTGCTCCACCGTTTGAGCCACAGCACCATTTCCTACAACTGATTTCTTGATCAAGGATTTGAAAGCCATCATAGAATATATGCAAAAATTGTTGGCTTATATCTCAGACAGCTCACTCATTTAAGAAAACTGATTTACATATTTTCTTTTTTCGGGGGGGGGGAGTCCAGCTGTGGGGCCTGAACTCTGGGCCTGGGCGCTGTCCCTCAGCTCTTCAGCTCAAGGCTAGCGCTCTACCACTTGAGCCACAGCGCCACTTCTGGCTTTTTTCTTTTTGCTTATGTGGTGCTGAGGAATCGAACCCAGGGCCTCAGGCATGCAAGGCAAGCACTCTACCACTGAGCCACCTTCCCAACCCCTGATTTAAATATTTTCTGACATTAACACTTCTTTTTTAAGTACCTAAAAACTCTCCTCATTTAAAAATTAAGTTTTCCTAGAAACTTATCTTACCCACGTTGATGGAAATTGAGAGATTCATGTTGGGACTAGTAAAAATATGATTAAAAACTTTGTACGATGTTATACATTGCAGTATTAAATTACTGCATGATAAACTGGAGATATAATTTTAAAATGTTCTTTCCTGCCACAAATTTTATATTCAACTATTAATTTTGATAAAAATCGACTTCTTTTCCTTAGAAGGCAACCTTCAGGTGAGTTTTAAAAATTTTATCAAAGCAGTGCAACAATTACTATCTGGTGAGTGCACCTTGTAATAAACCAGTGTTACTAGTTTAGAGCCTGATTTTCAGATTACAAAAAACATTAATAATCTTGGTAGCCTACAATATGGTGAAGAGACTGCAAAAATCCACCTTTTAAAAGTTAGTTAGCATCCAATTTAATAAAACATACAAAAAATTCTATGAGGTGTGAAACAGGTATAGCCTATCTTTATATAGTGCCTCTCTGGCTCCCAGTATCATCCCTAATCCAACGTTTATAACTTCTAATGACATTATCTGTAGGGAAACAATTCTTCCTATTCCATTTTCTCTAGTCTCTTCTGATGCTTCACTACTTAAAGGGAAATAGTTAATAATTCACATACTTCTGGTGAAAGAAATGGATACTTCTTTTGATCTTTGAGACAAGGCCTCGCGAAGTATGTTTGAATTGACTAAGGACAGTTCAGGCTAGCCTCCGACTCTTGATCATCCTGCCTCAGCCTCCTGAGTACTAAGATTAGAGGTATGATCCATCATGTCTACATAGCTGTTCTACTAGTTCTTGGACCACACACAATGTGAGGTTATATTGTCATCCTAGGAAGAGAAAGGAAAATAATGCTGTGGTGTCTCTGAAAGGCATCTCTGTCTTTAGCTGTTTGATGTACTACAAAGCCCTCCTCATTCCATCAATACCTGAGATATCTGTAACTTCTGAAAAAGGAAAGTAACATATAAGCATCAGAAACCTAGCTATCCATCTATTTTTTTTGTTAAACATGAACATGTCTTGGCTTTCTTATTCTATTAATCCATTTTACTGCTTCAACATGCTCTTGATAAAACAATAAAAGCCAAATGTTTCAAATGACATTAAAAGTGAACACTGGATTTTTTTTTTCAATTAAAAGATCTAAGCATAGCTAAAATCATAAGGGCACTTAAGCATAAGATCTGGGTTGGAACCCCAGCACTGAATAAAAAGAAAAAAAACCCTCGGATTTCTTTTCAGCTTTGAGAATGTTACTATGAACAATAAATATTAAATTCAGTCTTCCAGGCAAAACAATTTATATACTGCAATAAGACTTCCTCATGATCATCCATATATTCAATTTTCATTATCATATCCTTACAAACATTAAGAAAATCCTCCAATGTCTGTCACTTTTTCTTTTTAAGTGCCTGTCTTGTGGCTTGAACTCAGAGTCTGGGGTGGTGTTCCCGAGCTTTTATACTCAAAGCTAGTGCTCTACCATTTGAGCCACAGTTCCTTTAATGGCTTTTTGTGGTTAGTTGGAGATAATGGCCTCTTGGGCTGGGATCAAACCATGTTCTTTAGATGTCAGCCTCCCAAGTATCTAGGAATACAGGTGTGAGCCACTGGTGCCTGGCTTCTATCACTCTTAAATGTTATGCCATATTATTTTAGGCTTATGACTAAAAAGGCACAATTAAGTTATACTGTTCAAAGTTTTCAAGTTGTAGCACTTTAAGGCAATGTGTATTAATAAAATTAATCAGAAAATATTCAAGTGTTTTAAATGCAATCAATTATTATAATTTAGTCTTAACTGAGAAATAAATTTAGAATTATTAAAATCACAATACTGCAGCTTGGAAATTCATTTTGTTTTATAATAGCAATCAAGCTAGTATAAACTGTGTTGAACTAATTTTATATTAGAATGGGAAGAAGTATAGAAGCTTAGTGTTTCAGTGAGACCTTTTACAAGTTGTGTGTATGCATGGGGAATAGTACTTTTTTCCCAGTGAATCTTTTTTTTTTCCCCTCAGTCCTGGGGCTTGAAGGCCACTGTCACTGAGCTTCTTTCCTCCAGGCTAGCACTACTATTGAGCCACAGCGCCACTTACAGCCTTTTCTGTTTATGTGGTACTGAGGAATTGAATCCAGGACTAGGCAAGCACTCTACCACTAAGCCACATTCCAGACCTCCCAGTGAATCTGACATGCATTATAATCGTAGCTGATTACTGGGGTGCACCAACTATTTGCAAAGATTGGAGCACAAGTGCTGTTCTTTGGTAACTGATAAAATTCACTTAGTTTCTTATTTATTCTTCAATCTAGAAAAGGTCATTTCTTATTTTGATTATGTATATATCAGACATCTCACTTATTCATCTTTGACAATGGAATTTTTTAAAAGAAAAGTAAAATTTAGATATTGTATCCAATGATATAATTTCTCATTCACAATTCTTATCTCATTTTATAGAAAAAAGAAAGTGATATTAAAAGAAACAAAACATGAGAGAAAAGAAAGTCCAAACAAAACTAAGATCTGTATTTCATTATCCTCTTAAAGGGAAAAAAAAAAGACAAACATTTGTTTAATAATTTGTCACCCATTCTCTTTTCTTCAAACAAAAGTATAATAAAAATATACTGGCTGAAAGACTTTATGTTTAAAAGTCAAGTTTTAATGGAAAACATTTAAGAAAACCCATTTTCTTGCTTCAAAACCTATTCCAATTAGTGAATTTACTATGTTCCAACAGGAGAATTGTAGTGAGAATGGTCTAAATCCCAGGCAAAAAACTTTCATATTTACATTGGCTTTGCTTAGGTAGCAACTGCTAGCACCTGGCAAAACTTTCTACAAATGAAATTAGTTAAATGCCATATGTATTTATTGATAATTTGCACTTAATTGTGCATCATCAGATGTAAGTACTTCGCTTGTAAAATAGCTATAATTTTATCTGATAACCTAATTACATAGTTAGAGTGAAGGTCAATTAAGGCTATGGAAACTACTTGTCTTACAAAAAGCCTCCCACCAGCTTTACTTCAGCTTCAGTATTGTTAACCTTTTGGACCAGTAAATTTTTTGATATGAGGGCTGTCTGTACTTAGCAGGATGTCAAGTAGCATCCCTGCCTCTGCTTACTTCAACACCATGAGATTCTGCCAGTTGTAAGCAAGCATTTCTTCCCTTCCCCTCCACCCCATTTTTTTCTTACAGTTTTGGCCATAATGTCATACATAAATTTTTGTTTTTACTGGTTACCTATAAGACATACATTAATACTGTGCTAACGGTCTAATGTTTCTTGACTAATTCTCTCAAACATTTGAAGTAGTATAGCTTAGCAGTTTGTAAGTTCAAGTACTGCCATTTTTTTAGTCTGAGTATCATTCACTCTGATGTATACTTTTCATTATGGAAGAAAAATGACTACAAATACTTTGTCTATTTGTAAAGCAGCCCTTCTCAATAAATAAAAATTGTATGTGAGAAATGGGCTAACACTACTGTTTGAACAGCAATATTGACAATGTTACAAAACAAGACCACTTTGATAGAGGAAAATACAAAATAACTTTGTATGAAAAAATTGGCTCATAGAATTGTAGTTTGCACCCTAGTCCCTCACTACGAAAGATGCTCAATAGTGTTTTGCTCATTTACTTCATAAACACTGACGTATTAAATGAAGATAGGGAGTGCCTAGACTGCTACATAATTTGGTACAAGACATATGCTTCTTATATGCTTCCCATGAGTTGCAGAAACCTGTCTGTCTGTTTAGATAATTGTGTATGGCCCTCAAACACTGCTATCAATATCCAAATGGCCCCTGGCAGAACAAAGATTCTCTATTCCCTGCAGAGTACACTGAATATGTGAAACACAGAACTAGAACTATTGATATACAACCAATAATAATTAATAGACAGCTTCTGTCGATTAAGAGAAAAATAATCATAAGATGTTAACCACAGTATAAACACTGTGCTAAAGTACCATAATCACACACAAAGTACAGAGTACTGAAGAATGCATTGAAGTCTCAGATATGAATGTGGTGGAAAATACTTATTTCCTTCTTAAAATTTTAAGGACAGAGGAGGAGGAAAACCTAAAGCAGAAAGGTAAGTGATAAAATTAATATATTGATCAAAAATGGTCAATATGCTATAACATATGAAATCAGAAAAATAGAACAAAATTATTGATTATTAAAAATAGGCCAAATATTAAAGGCAGAACCCCTCTGTAGAGAGAAACTCCAGGTCAACTGGCCAGTAGTCAGCCTAAGCCTTTTCTATCCTTGCTAAAAGTAAAAGCACACCTCTCCCTCACTCAAGTTGACAAAACTGGCAGCTTTGCAGTTTACCACAAACTTTGCTAAAGGCCACTGAAAACCTTGAGGCTTATTATCAGCTGTACTGAATTGCTTTATTAGTCAGGAGCTTATAATAAAAAAAATTTTTGTAAAACAGATAACCCCAACCAAGGTTATGTTTTGACTTCTACAACACAAGAATATGTTTTGACTTTTTGTAACCATGTATCAATAGTATTAATAGCATTGATAGTATCGGTCATGCTGACCAAGTCAAGATTATGTTTTGCCTATGCTCTTGTGACTCAAGACTATGTTTTGCTTCTGTAACCTTGTTTGCTTGCTTTGGTAAACATTACCTATGTGAAACCCAAATCCCCCCTGAAAAGCAAACGGGGCAGTTTTCTGAAGCTCTGCAGCTAGAGACAGTCGCTACATGGCTAATAAAAGGCTTCCAGCCATATTGACTTGAGTGCTTGGTGACTCCTTTTGCCAATCATGGGTTTGAGTCCCACTGGCCCCAGGAAGTTGGGATACTTCAAGGCTATCGCAGCTTTAACTAAAAACAGTGACTTTTAATCTATGAAATGATTACCATAGAGATACTGAAGCTGTTTAACAATTGAGGCAATAAAATACCACATGAAAATTAGGTATAAAAACGTAATTTGTGAGATCTCTGATGACAGATGAAAATCATGCTCAATTATTTGTTTTATATGTGTTTTTAAATTTTTGACAAGATATCTTACAAAACAGAAAATCCCATTTTGTTTTACTTTGTTTCTGTTTTTGAGGTTAAGACAAAATTGCATTTAGCAAACTCCATTTGCTAATAGAAAGAGGTGGGACAGAAAGACTAGAGGAAGTACATAAAGGAGTCACTGAGGGAAGAAAAGGAGACAAAGAGCATAGAAAATTTTGAATGGTCATTTCCTCTTCCTGCTGGGTGCAAAAAAGGTACATATTATGTTCAGGCTCATGTATCCAATAGAGATGTGAGGTCATCTTTCAAGTTCATGTCAGTTTAAATATTTCCAATCTGTCTACCTAGTTACTGTATGCAAGGTACTGATTTTCATGTCCTATCAAAATTGGAGCAAGAAGCATTTTAAGAGTACCAGGGATCATTATTCCGGTCCCACAGCTATTAGACCAGCTTAGGTGGCCTATGATACCTGATATGACGATCTCAGGGACATCCAGAATGTTGCCAAATGAAGCGGTTTTACGGTGGCCCCGTTTAGGCTTGGAATAGGCTGCAAAAACACATACATACGGTATACATGCAAACAACCACAAATAGTAACATGAAAAACAAGTAACTACAAAAACAGAATAGTTGACAAATAGTTAATAACATTTCATGCAGAATGGCATGCAGAACTATGTAACTTTTTATTCATGCTTAAGAAAGGCATGATTAAAGAGCAAACAACTAACAATACAAGAAGTATCACATGATGATTTAATTAGCAGGTGAAAAAAAAAAGACAAAGCCTTAGGGTAATGATAAAGCTAAATTCCCAATGTGTTCTTAGAAATAATCTACCTAAGTGAATCCAATGATATGTAATGAGGGCAGGAGAGGAAAAGTGGAAGGGAAAAGAGGAGTTATTAAGAAATAAGTTACTACATTTTTTAAAATTACACAAACAGAGGAATAGACTTTAAAATTAGGTATTTCTTGGAGAGTGCTATAAAGTAAAATTCAGTGATTAAGCAAGTTATTGAATCAAAATATAAATGTAAAAGTATGTACAATAACATTTACCCTACATATAGGAAGAGAAAACAAGGTCATTTTAATGTGTGGTTATTCTCAAACCTAGCCAAATATTATTCTATAAAGAATAATTACAAATTGACTAAAGAAAACAATGCTAGCAAAGATATAAAACTGCTATAATACTACCGTCTGTCTTAAGAGTACCAGTATTTGGAAAGTCCATCTTGATTGACATTTATAGTGAAAATCCCTCGAAATGTGAAGGTCCATCTCTATGAAAAGAGCTCATTAACTCCACTTCACAGAAATACCTGTGACTCATGAAGATCAGAGGGCTTAGCAATGGCTGGTGGCCTCTGCTCAACTTGATTGATTTTATAGATCTACCTATAGCAGAAACTGCTAATTCTTTAGCAGATCTACCTGTGGCAGATTGCTATGTCTGACAATCTGTGGGTTTTTTTTTAGCCACAGAATTTTGGTTTTATTTAAGACAGCATTTTCCCCACAAAAATGCTTTCTTCTTTTGAAGCTCTGTGTAGTGATCTAACCATGTTACTCAGGCCACTGCCATGAATGAGGAAGTTGTCAGGAAAAGCTCCTTCAAAGAGCCCCACTGTCCCTTCATTCTTTCCCTATTTCCTCCTCTCTGCTCCCTGGAATTTGGCAATGACTCAGACCAAACTGCTGCTTTTGAGCCACAAGGTACCATAAAGAAAGAACACAATAGGGATTATGACACGAAGAAAAAGATCAGTTGTCTGATGACCATGGAGTGTACCTCCCATCTTCTTTATGTGTAAAAAATAAAAGCTTGTGTTATAGACAGTTATTTTGAATTATCAGTTCTACATGGATTTTAGTGGTAATTGATAAAATCAGTGATTAAGATTAGTTAAAGACAAGAATAGCATGACGTCCACCTGGACTACTTAAAGAACTCCACATACAATTAGAATATTCTACCCAGGAAAAACAATGGAGAAAACGAGACCTAAAAAAGAAATCCTCGTTAAAAAAATTATATATATATATATATATACATACACACACATGTCACACAAATATACACATAATTATATTCATAAAAATATATACGTAAAAGTCTAGAGGCAAATACATAAAAGCATTTAAGTGTTTATCTCAGAGTAGGGTATTATGGGAAGGTTTTTTGTTTGTTTCTTTATACAGTTCCACATTCCCCAGAACAAAAATTTTTTACTTTCACAGTCAGCTTCCCTCCACCCTGGGGAGAATCAGAAAAAAATGAAACTCAATAAAGCCAAACAACCCAAATTAAATGAGGATGACTAAAATGAAACCTGACTAGAAAAGGTTGTTGGGTCACTTAGTTAATAAAATGCACTGTAATTTTTTTGTGCTGATCTATGACTAACAATTTTGTGTTTAATCTCTGATGAACAATTTTAAGAACTGACAAAATGGAATATAAATGCTAATCTTTTCAAGATCCAATAAAAACATCACTGTCTTTTATTTCACCATTAAATGAATTAACCACAAACAGCTTAGCTATCTGGAAGGAAGGAAGAACAGACAGCACAACTGAATCTTATTTAGAGCTGAAGCATATTTTTTGGCTAGCTTTTTTTTTTTTTAATTATCCTAGTTCAGCACAAAAACCTAGTAGAGAATAATTCAAAATCCCTGCAAACATTCTGCTTTTAGCCACATTTCAATTTCTTACTTAGATTTTAAGTACAGGTATGAGCAGAAAGAATTACATTTGATAAAAAAGCTAAGAAGATATATTTTATAATCCAAACAACATTTGAAAATTATACTTTCCTTATTCAGAATTTGAGATAAATACATAAAATTATAATTAGAAGTTATTATTAGAAAGCATACTGTAAACCTACTTACAGATTTAAAATGTATAAGACAAAAAAAGATTAAGATCTTTACTAAAACAATCCCAACTATCCTGGCCCAAAGGATTATATATATTTTTTGAAACTTTTCTGGTTTAGCAGCTGCTATTTACCTGTGGTCGCAGCGATCCTGGCTTCAATTTCGGACATATCAGCGCTCATCCTTTTGCCCTCAGAAGCTGGGGGCAAGCTTTCTATACTGCTCCCACGGGAGGCTCCCAAGCTTAAACGTCCAGATTCACTCTGTCAAAATTAGAGGTCAATTTGAATTACAGGGTTCCTCTTGAACAACCCAGGGAAAGGATCCTATCCCTGCCAACTTAGTTCCCTAGCTAAGGGGAAGAGAGGGAAAGCTTAGGTACTATTTTATGAAAGGTAGCTAAATACCCCAATGATTAATGAAATGTCTCAACCTGGACAGAATCAATTCTTCAAATATAACAAATCTGAACAGAATTAAATGACAGATTTAACTGGATAATGAAGTTACAATATATTCGTTTTACATTTTTACTTATTAAAGTCAGATATTGTGACCACAGGGAGAGTAGCAAATTTGGCAAAGGCATAACTATCAGAAGGGGAAACAACTAGTTTTGTGAAAAACAGCAGGAGAATCTCAGTTGCCTATCTTTAAACTCATCTGTCTGCTTCAGGAAGATGCAGGACTGTGACTACTAGTAAGGTACCAATACAATTTTACTTTTAATAACATTACAAACCTGTTGTTTTGCTTGATTTTTCAACAATTTTGATTCTAGGCGTTTAATAGTATCATTTGTGGCAGGAACTTGCTCCATATTAGTGTCACTTTTATTACTGGTATTTGTAGAAGTGATGTCCATGAATGAGCCTAGGAAATCAGAAACACGTACAACTAGAGATTGAGAAAAATAAATGCCTTAACGATTAGCATGTAATTCAAATTCTTTTCAAAGATGACAAGACACGAATGGAAATAAAAGTGTTTTCACATAATGAAGACACTTAAAACAAGCCTATTTAAAAATGAGACTCACAGATGATCCAAACAGTTATCAATTAGTTTTCTAAATAGTAAAAACATGGATTTTACCCCAAGCTATAGAACTGAAGGCAATTAAAAGATGAGGAAGACCTGAGAATCAATATCCTTGAAGGTTGTACCAGGAACTCAGTTGATAGCTGGATTTATCAGTGCGAAGTTAAGGTAGAAGATGAAGAAAAAGCTTAGCAACTGATGATATATAAAGGCATAGTAGAATGCATTACCAAGAAGTGGACATAGGTGAAAAAGCCAATGACTGAGCCTTTTCTGACTCTGATATTTATTTTTAAGTTGAAAAGATGAGAAATCATCAGCAAAGAAAACTAAGAACTAACTTGGGGGGTGGGGGGAGTGGCTCAGTAGTAAGAGTGCTTGCCCAGAATAAGCAAAATCTTGGATTTAAATCCTAGCCAGTGAAGAGAGACAGAGAGTGGGGTTGGGAGGAAAAAGAAGAGAAAAAGGAGAAACTATACAACAAGAACCCAGAATAAATGACCTGAGATGTAAGATGCAACTCAGGCTAGGATGGTATCTAAGAAACCACGGAAGAAAATGCTATAGAGAGCAATGAGCTATATCAAATAAAATGAGAATTAAGAGTAATTATTAAAATATAGATATAGATAACTGGTAACCTTAACAAGAACAATTCTGGACTAGGAGTAAAACAAAAGTCTGGGTAGAACTGATGCAATAGAGAATGGCAAGAAAGAAACTAGTGAATGCAAATACAGACTGTATCTGCTCTGGGAATGATCACAGTAGAAAGGCTAAAATTAAGCTTGGAAAAGCAGACAGGGTTTAAACAAGCAGTAAACTTGCCTTCGGTAAAAGGATGGAGGTAGTTTAGCCATGATAACAAGAGAAAAGAACAGATGGACACAGAAGGGAGATTATGGATATCTTATGATTACTCCATTTTTCTCAATAGCAAATAAGGTCACCTAAAAGTGAAAAGTGGAGGGGGATTTGAAATTTCAAGAGAGGTTAATATATAAAATTAAGTAAGCTAGGAAAGAGGAGATGGAGTACAGTACAACTGTACAGAAACACTAACTAAGCATAGACTATAGCCAACATGTGTTGTCTCAAATGCATTCAGCTGTATGGGAACAGCCCAATTAGTAAAATTAGTGTTGATAATTTAATAAGGCTTGTGATTTAGCCAGGCAAAAGTCTGAGAAAGAGTCTAGGCAGTTGAGTACTGCTCCCAAGCGAGTACAATAGGTGGCCAGAATGAAGTGGACAGATGAAGAAAAAAGAATCTAAGAGGGCTGAGAGTCAGTAAAAAGGTAGAAGGACCCATCGGATGAAGGTTGCAATATGGAAACAAGGAGGATTTGATGGTAAGGGAATAAGCAAATGACAGAATTCTAGAGATGTTCACATTAGAATTCAGAGCAACCCAAAGGTATTCAGTGAAATCTAAGAATAACTGGTCAAACAGTAAAGCAGCTTAAAACAATTACAACTATTTGTAAGGGAACAGGGAATACAGATTAATAAAAATATTTAACAATAAAAGTGAAATTGTATGCTTAGGATAAATATATGCATGCATGTATGTGTGTGTGTGTCTATATATAGACCTATACCTTTAGACGTAATTAAATCATATAATGGCCTATATTTTGAGAAGTACATTTTTCCTAAGTTATTTTATCATGACTACAAACTACCAATTCTCATTACTACTTCATATTTTAGAAAACTGAGGAACTTCTATCTGAAACACAGCTTCATAAATGTCTTTTTAGAAGAAAACCAGGAAGTAGGGTGTTTGTAATCAAGAAATGTTCTAACATTTGCAACAATTTCTAGTATTATTTGAACTAGTACTGTCCATGTAAAAATTGTTTTTCAAATTAAGAATATTTACAGCAATACAATAGCCAATCTTTTCAGACTTAACTATGCAAGTTAATTTAAGACTAACTTGAAAGTCAGTTTCAAGCAATTTTTTAATCTAGGTAGCTTCATGAAGAATGATGCACCTGGAAACTCAAATTACAGTCAATCATAGGAATTGAAAGAATTAAAATGTAAATTAGGATATCATTTGTTGCTTCTTGATTATAATTTCATGGGAATAGAGAACACCTCTAAAAACAGTTTACCTGTACTGGTAGCAGAGTTGCTCTGTCCTTCATCAGAATACTGACAAGGATACTGTAATGGCTCATCTGCTCCTGGAAAGTACTGTATGTAAAAAAGCAAATCACAATTAAAATTCCCATTATGTGGGTTTAATCCTATTAAAATTAAGTTTAAGAGTACATTTGACCTTATGCAGCAAACATGCTACTTGATTTTTTTCCTTAGAAATACTCTAAACTTGGAGAGTATTAAATTTATGATTTTACAAAGATGATAATAACACACTCCCTTTTGAAAGCCAACTGTGGACAATGTCATGTACCTACCTAAGCATCTAATTTACATGGAGTCTAGACAGTCTTGAAGAAAACACCATATTCTCTAGAGGAACATATGAAATAGAATATATCATTCCTCATAATTGTGATAACCACTGATGTTCACCTAACAGTGACATAAACTGTTGCAATGATTTATTAGTCTGGTAACTGAGATTGGTATAACACAATAATTACTATGACTAATAAGTTCAATATTGAGAAGATAAAATTATGGCTGTGCTTTGAGGAGCTGGAAACAATATGAAATTATTTGATGGATAAAAAAATTACAGGGCTGAGAATGTGGTTCAGTGGTAGAGCGCTTGCCTTGCATGCATGAGGCCCTGGGTTCGATTCCTCAGCACTACATAAGCAAAAAGAATAAAGCCGGAAGTGGTACTGTGGCTCAAGTGCTAGCCTTGAGCTGAAGAACTGAGGAACAGTGCCCAGGCCCAGAGTTCAGGGCCCACAACCGGACCCCCCCCAAAAAAATTACAACTTAGGAAAAAAGTATTACTCTCAAAACACATGTGAATATAATTAAAAGGTGAACAATTTATACAGCTCACAGTTTTAGGTGAACTTTAATCAGTTCAAGCTACTTTGTCTAGGCTATTTTCAATTGACTGAAACTAAACCTTTGATCATTTAAGAAATGCTTAGTCTGTATTTTAGAAGAGTGCAAGATTCTTCTGGCAAAGAAGTTCTAACTCATCAATACACAAACTTTTTTAAAGCCGGTTATCATATGATGGCTTCTGGTGGTGTTCCAAACACTAAAAGCCTTAACTACTTCAACTAATCCCCAAGTTTTGATTTGTACAACAGAAAATTTTGACCACTATTTTAAAAGGGTTCTTTTGAAATTAAAATGTTCCATATGTTCTAGAAAAAAGTCTTAAGGTTTTTATTGGAGTATGAAAAACCTGAAAATACAAAAAACCCCAACTATCAAAATTCATTGTAATAAATGTATTTGAGAATGCAACCCTTCTAATGCACTGAAAAATGAGGTGACTTTTGATGAAAATCAATCAGAAAATTAAAAATTTAGTTTAGCATTATTAGTCATAATATATGTCTTGTGAAGATTTTCAGTATCATCTAACCCAGTTATCAGAAAATAATTCAGTATCTTCTAATTCAGTTTCCCACATATTACAGATGAGTAATGGGTCCAGAAACAAACACATATGTCTACAATGAAGTACTATACAAAAAGCAGTAAGTCCAGAAACCTTTTCATTACAAACAAGTTCAATTATTTTTTTTCTAAAAAAATGTTTCTTCTGATTTAATACAATATAAATGACTACGTTAACTTGGAAAATGCAGAAAGGCTTGGAAAGCAGAAAGTAGTAAAACTCAATTTATATTTAATCCCCCTAAACCAAAAGCCCCTCAAAAGAAGGATGATACCCGCATCAAGTGAGTCATTATTTTCACAATTTCCTCCATGGAAGGGCGCTGGGAAGGGTCTTTAGACCAACAACGAGTCATCAGGCTCTCAATGGGCTTAGGTAAATTTTTGATTAGAGGTGGTCGAGTACCTATAATTAAAAATTAGAGAAGGAAAAGCTAGCATTTACCCAAAGGATGTTACACTTTTTAAAAAAAATATATGCATTTCCAAAGCAGTATTTATATAATACATCTTGTTATTTAAAATGTGTTGTAATATAAATATACATACATATAAAAACTGATCATGGAAAGTACTTTTTCTTTGCTCTTTAATCTATCCATGTATAGCTTCATAAAGGATAAGTCTTTTTATTATTTTTCTTTTTATAATTTTATTTTATTATGAAGATGCTGTATAGAGGGGTTACAGTTACATGAGTTAGGCAATGAATACATTTCTTGTCGAGCATTGTTACCTTCTCCCTTGTTGTCCTCCCACTATTCCTTTCCTGCCCCCCTTTTCTGTTTGTGGTACTAGAGTTTGAACTCGGCCATGATGCCCGCAGGTTTTTGTGATTTTGCTTGTGGCAAATCATCCTATCAATATTTGCCACATAGCTGGAGTTATAGGCATGCACCATGCTAGGCTGATAGAGTCTTGCTAACAACTTTTTGCTTGGACTAACCTTGAATCACAGTCATCCTATCTCTGCCTCCCAGGTAGCTGGGATTACATGCAAAAAATGGGATTACATGAAAAGTACACTTTTCAAAAAGTTATAATATTTACAACACCTTATTATAATACTAAGATTGAGAACCATAATATTTGACTTGTTAAATTGCAAACATGTGTCTAAAAACCATCTCTCATTATCAAAAAGTAGTCAGCTAATAAGGTATTGTAGCAACTTGCAACTAAGTCTTTTGTGGGAAACAGACCATTTGACTGTGGTAAATCAATCACTTCACTAGTTGAAAACTGCCAACTTACAATTATTAAGCCTATAACATGATTGGTAATGTCCCCACTTAAAAGGCTTCAAATATAATGGAATTTATGCAATTTAATCAATGAAAAAGTTAGTGTTTTTACTCCTCACTTCATTGACATTTAGTATTTACTGACAAGTGGAGAGATGAGAAAGCAACATGTCTTCATCTAGGCTCTAGTGCTGTCTGTAGTGACACCACAGGCAAAAACATCACTGATGGAAAAGGAAGCTAGGAAAATGACCAAGAGGGTGCTAGAGGATGGTACTGTCTGGCCAGTCTATGAATGACCCAAATAGGCAGACCTCTGTCTTCATCACTTGTGGAATAGTGCAGCATAATGCATTCATCAGGATTGATTACCATGAAGTTAAAGAAAACAGATGGATGCTAATGTCAGCAAAATAATTCTTCTTTATAAAGAGTTTGCCAAAGCAAGCATGGGGTAACTTTATTAAGGAAGAAAATGTATTTTAAGGGCTGGGAAGGTGGCTCAGTGGTAGAGTGCTTGGCTTGTATGCATGAGACCCTGGGTTCAATTCCTCAGCACCCCATAAACAGAAAAAGCTGGAAGTGGCACTGTGGCTCAAGTGGCAGAGCGCTAGCCTTGAGGTGAAAGAGCTGAGGGACAGTGCCCAGACCCAGAGTTCAAGCACCATGACTGACCCCACCCCCCAAAAAATGCATTTTAACATCACATGAATAATTACTAGCACTATAAAAGGATAACAGGGATTCAAGAACACAGCCCATAAGTCAATATGACTTAAAAATATGAGTACTTGAGTCTGAAAAACCTAGATTTGAGTCAGCTCTCCAATTACCAATCTTCTGACCCTAGACAGGTCATGTAATAAAGCTCAAGATCTGTTTCCTGATCTGTGAAACGAGGAAACAGTGCTTAACTCTAAATTTATAGTGAAGCATTTTGTGTTCTTTAAGTAACAACTCTACTGGCAATTTTTCTTTCTCTTCTTGATGGGGCACTCGCCTCCCCAGGAGAAAGAGACTACAGAAGAACCACAGAGCCAACTATCTTAAGGACACAAGAAATTTATTGTTTTAAAACTCTGGGCCTTGTGCTTGTTAGGCAGGTACTCTAACTGACCCACACCTTTAGGCTTTTCTTGCTTTAGTTTTTTTGGGGGTGGGAATAAACCTTGAGTTTTTGTCTGGAGACAGCCTCAGACTTCAATCCTCCTGTTTCATGCATAGCCTGGATTATAGATGCACACAATTACACCCAGCTTGTTGGCTGAGATGAGACTCACTAACTTTTTGCTTGGGCTGATCACTAAACATGATCCTCCTGTTTCCACCTCTAAAGTAACTGGCATTATTTGTAAGTGTGTTCTATCACATGACCCTTACTTATATATTTGTTTTTTCCAGAGTATAATACAATCCTTCTCCATACATAAGCAAAAGACAACAGGCTCTGGATAAGCACTGATGTCTTTTCCCTAATCAGAGCACAGCCAATAAATGCCCTCTTTCCCACGGGGAGACCAAGACTGTTTAGCACTGCCCTGCAGGACTTGGGGGCTCAGAACAGAGACTGGAAATAGAAAGGAGGTGTGGGGGAGGGGTGGAGAGGACATTGAATTAAGGGCTTTATGTTTGCTAGGCAGGCACTCTACCACCTAAGCCATGTGATAGCCTTTTGACCTTTAGGTTATTTTTCATAAAGGGTCTCATTTTTGACTGGGCTGACCTGGGATTACCATCTTCTACTTATGTCTACCACATAGCTGAACACCATGCCTGACTTTTTTTTATTGACATGAAGTTTTACTAACATTTTGATCTGGCTGACTTTGATCCAAATCCTTCTATTTTTCTGCCTCATGAGTAGCTGAGATTATGGACATGAGCCACCAAGCCCAGTTAGAATTACATATTTCAATGTAACAGATAAATAAGTCTTCCTTGGGGAAGAGGACAAGAAGAATCTTCCAAATAGGAAACACAATTTTGCTTTTACACACCGTTATGAACAGCCCACATGATGCGGAAAGCTGGGCCACCAATCTCATCAAAGGGTTTCCGACGTGTTATTACTTCCCACAGGATGATACCCCAGCTGAAGACGTCACACTTTTCACTGTAATTGCTACCTAGAAAAAAAAGCAGCAGAAGCTTGAGACATTTTCCTATATGACTTACAGAAACAATTGCTTTGGTAAATTTTAAGAATGGCTAAAACAAAAACAAGGTATGACCATAGAGTTAAGAAATTACTCCTTCTGAAGTACCTTAAATCTTTAAGAAACACATATTTAAAAATAAATTAAGTATTACAAGTATGTTACCCAGAGCCATTGGCTCTGGGTAATCTCTACTACTTAGTCTGAAGCCAGCCAGACTAGGCAGAAAAACCCTTGAGACTCCATTTCCAATTAACCAACAAAATGCCAGACTGGGGGCATGGCTCAAGTGGTAGAGTAGCAGATGTGAATGAAAAAGCTGAGCATGTGTGCCACACAACACACACACACACACACACACACACACACACAACTTCAGAAAATCAGTTAAAAGTCAGCTATTTTCTACTTTTTCATAAAGTGCCACAGCTTTTCTTTCTATGGATGTAGACCCATACTTTCTATGGAGCAGAAATGTGCACATTTCTTTCTGTAATTTTTTTTGTTTGTAGTGATGGTGATCAAATCATATCAAAATTCAAAGCATATATACTTTACTACTGAACTACTGAGTTCAAATCCTATGCTATGTAATTTGCTCATCTTAAATAAAATCCTCCATTCTCTGACAGATCCCTATTCCAGTATCAAAGGAAAAGATGGTTCTGTTTTTGTTGCTTTTACTTCAATATTAAATTCTTAACATTTAAACTTAAAAGTAAACATGTAAGTAATGAAAATTTTGGATAAGAAATTTCAGCAGAGTAAAGAGATTATGTGGCAAAATTCACAGAATTACCACGTTGATGGATAAAGGAACACAAAAAAAACCAGCCAAAAAGTCCTCAAAATTAACTACACAAAACATCTTTCAAAGCCAACTTATCTAAGAATGAGTAATCATACACTGATAGCAATACACAACAATATAGTATTGCAACAGCATTATAATCTCATCTGAGCACAAGTGACTTCTTTCAGAAATGCAGAGATTTATATAGCCTAAGAGTCTGGTCTTCGTTGTGTCAGACAAGAGTAATTTTTACTCTTCTGCATAAACAAATCTTTTTTGCTCTCCAGGAGAGCACTGTGACAATGTAGCTCACGAAAATGAATTTTTTTTTTGGTGTGGGGGGGGGGAGGGCAGTAGGGCTTGAACTCTGGGCCTGAGTGCTGTCCCTAAGCTCTTAGCTCAAGGCTAGTGCTCTACCACTTGAGCCACAGCGCCACTTCTGCTTATGTGGTGCTGAGGAATCGAACCCAGGGCCTCATGCATGCAAGGCAAGCACTCTACCACTGAGCCACCTTCCCAGTCCACAAAAAGGAATCTTAGTAAATGATTTTCAAAAATTCCAAACATAATGTGTGTGTATATGTCTACATATATATATATATAAATTTGTGTGTATATATATATATGTGTGTGTGTGTGTGTATATATATATATATATATATAAAACCTGTGTGTGAAACAGAAGGTATTACTTAAATTGTATTGATTTAACACCTACTTGTGTAGTCACTTATCTGAATTTTAGAGTAAAATAACTATTCAAGTGACTAAATAACATTTTTTGCATCTGGGATGGTTAAAAACAACATAATTCACAAAAAGTAAAAAATAAAAGACGAAAATCATAACCACAGTCTGTTTTTGGTGGGTATTAAGAGTTCCTAAAATATAAATCAACTCACCTTCAGTTCAAATTCTCTTATTTAAAAGATAATTTGATGTTTCTGTAGAGAAACTTAGCAAATGAACTATGCTTTTAGAACTTGAGAAATGGAGGTATAAAACAAAGTAAAGATGAGTCTACTTTTTATTATTTCTAGTTCTTAGTTTGCTATTTATACCTGAATTACATTCTTTTTTACTTTAGGGCTCTTTTTTTTTTTTTTTAAGGTTGGAAACTGGTTGTCTCAGGGCTGCTCATTTTTAATTGGTAGAAAAAAATATAAAAGATAGAAAAACATTTTTGTTGTCACTTAGGTTTCATTGAGTCATGGTGAACAATGAATCATTGTTCCTAGGGGAAGTACAGGGCTGTGTGTTCTGTGTGCCTCTGGTCATGAAATTTTTGTCAGGGAGTCAGTATACAACCTTGTTTTGTTTGTTACAGTTAAAAGACACATTATTTAACATCTGTTACTGATTCACTAATGTTGAACTCATGGCACTGTAAATCATGCCTGAAAGAACATTATCTAAGAGATACATTTTCAGATACTAAGGTACACATTTACAACCTTCTTCTTCTTAGGCAGACTACATTTGAGGCCATTCTGAAAAGCAAAATCACCAACAAAAATCACACAGGGGTAAAGGGGCTCTAAACAGACTAAAAATTAAGAAGGCAAAGCATCACATTCTTTGACTTCCCACCGGGATATGTGTTCAGTGACTCAAAATGCTTATTGTTGTGAGCATGTGCAGTGTCTATAAATAATCAGGAAAGCTTCATACATATTGACTTAGGGGCTGCAAAAAACTTTAGCAAGTGGGTAGTTTTGCAATTACGGAATCTACGAACAATAACTATGTATATACATGAATCTACATAGAATATGCAATAATATTTAAATTTTGTCATAAAATTTGGGTTTATTAGGCTTCAGTATATATTATAATTAGGTATTATGAAGAAATAAAGCTATAGAAAAGAGGAACAGTCTATAAATATAGTATATTCACAAGGAGTTATAGGTTATCAGTTATATCATACTTTTGTCATATACCTTCAAACACCTCAGGTGCCATCCAGGCAGCACTCCCTTTGTTATTGGTCATGTGTGTCTGAATGTCACAGGCTGTACCAAAATCACAGATTTTCAGAACTGTCCCCCCAGCAACCAGCAGCAAACTGTTAAAAAATTTAAAAAAAAATCAATCAACCAAAAGGCACAAAGCAAATATTTAATTCTATAAAAAGAGACATTTGTGGAGATAGAAAAGAGTTAAACAATATGTTTGCTATGATGAAACTTCACTATGAAATGTTACTTGTTCACTGTAACAGCCTAATGGTTCAGAGGAATTCAGTAAAAACTAATTGTCCACAATTTAGAAGTACTTAAGGACCCTGCAGATGAACATTTTGATGTCTCTATCTTTCCTGAACATTTTTCCCTCCTTCGGTTGTGGGGCTTGAATGCTGAGCTTCAGCACTGTCCCTCAGTTCTTCAGCTCAAGTCTAGCGCTCTACCACTTGAGTCACAACATCACTTCCAGTTTTCTGGTGGTTTATTACAGATAAGAGTTTCATGGACTTTCCTTCCCTAGGCTGGCTTTGAATCTCGATCCTTAGATTTCAGCCTCCTGAGTAGCTAGTATTATAGGCGTGAGCCACTGGTGCCCAGCACTGAACTTTTTTTTGGTTAAAATAAACATGGGCTTTAAAAAGTGTCTTGTAGGTAAACATTACAGTGTCCTAAAATGGGAGTTTAATCATATTATTTAAAAATAATTAACATTATAGAATCTAGTTGAAGAAGCTAAAGTAAAATAAACAAATACAGAAGAAAAATAATAGTTTATTTTTTCCCTGTTGCAGCTCAAATTGACAACAACATACTCCATTTGCAGCCCAATGGCCCCCATTTTATTTTCTATTATTGTGAAGATACTTCAACTTAAGGTCAAATTATTGTATCAACTATAATTACCAAGTAGCTTACTTTTACTTAGAAGGTTTTACTTTTGATGACAAAAAAAGAAGGGTAACAGTGCTATAGTAATAATCAGCAGCAGTTAAATGGAGAGTCAATTATAAATTATATATATACATAAGTTCTAAGGCTTTCCAGTTAGGCTAACTGACTAAATGATGAAGGTGAATAAATAGTAAAACTTTCTCAAATAAGCCAGAGGGAAAAAGAAAAGTCATGTGTAACAATTACTTTCAATTAGGAAGAGAACAGGCGGTAGAATGTGGCATTAGAACTTACTTTGGTGGTTTCAGGTCCCTGTGAATTAAAGCTTTGGGTTGCATGCTGTGAAGGTAAGCCACTCCTTGGGAACACTGTAAACACCAACTCATCGCGTGGGCAGCAGTGTAATATGGCAATGGTTCAGCACCATGCAGCACTGCAAAAGAGACACACAAACTAAAAAGAACTTTATTGCATATAACAAAAGATACGATGTGAATGCAAGTGCTAGCAGAACACATGACTGAGTACTTTTCTACATGTGTGCCCATTAGTGCTTTTAATTCATTTTTAAATAAAAAGATGGAAAAATGTAAAAATAGTTAATGACTGTCATTTAACTGCCAGTCCAGTAAAATTAATACACATTACCATCATCTTTCAAATTGATGTCTTTCACACACTGATCTAAATTATAAGCAGACATTCACACAAATAAGAGAGCTGCAGAAAAATAGTACATAAGCAAGATGAGTCTGTCTAGATGTTTGCAGTTGTACTGAAGCCAAAAATTAGTAATTCCACAATGAAATACTAGATATGCACTAACAATAGGAAACATATGGGCAATAAATACCAACATTCATTTAAAACAATGTTAACTTAAAAATAACTGAAAAATTTAAAATATAATTTGTTTATGACACAATAATACATTTATATAAAAGGACAGCATTTTTAGGACCAAAGAATTTTGTTTTCTGCCAGGCACCAATGGCTCACACCTGTAAACGTAGCAATACAGGAAACTGGGAGCTAAGAATTATGGCTCAAAGCCAGCCTAAGTAGGAAAGTCTCTGAGATGAAATGGAAGTAGAGCTCTGACTCACGTAGTTGAGCAAAAAGTTCAGGGATAGTGTTGAGGCCCTAATTTCAAGTCCCAGAATGAGCAAAATAAAAACAAAAAAAAGAAAAGAAAACAAACCTCTTTGTTTTCCAACCGTAATAAATGGTGCATGAAGTTTTGCTTTTACAATTAAAATGTTCTGTGAAGTGAGTTTTCACAATTGTAGCTTTTGAAATGAAAGCAAAATAAAGTGGAGTGAAATGGAAGTAGAGCCAGAGTTTTAAAAGTAGGAAGTTCAAAGCTAAATAAGTCTAAAGATACTTTAAAATATATTTAAAAAAACAACAAATTTTACTTTGCTTAAATGTTCTCTGTAGAATAAAAAGTACTATTGCTTGAGAAAATTTACAATTTTTAAATTTCACATACCATTGTTATAACATTTTTCTTATTTAGTTTTTACTCTTTTGTAGTTTAAAAAATAGGGCTGGGAAGGTGGCTCAGTGGTAGAGTGCTTGCCTTGCATGCATGAGGCCCTGGGTTCGATTCTTTAGCACCACATAAGCAAAAAAGAAAAAAAAAAACAGAAGTGGTGCTGTGGCTCAAGCGGTAGAGCGCTAGCCTTGAGCTGAAGAGCTGAGGGACAGCGCCCAAGCCCAAAGTTCAGGCCCCACGACCGGACCAAAAAAAAATAAAAATAAAAAATAAATAAATAACTTTCTTGGGAATGGATGGTGTGAAGAACATTAAATAACATACAATTTATGTTAGAAGGTTTCAAAGTAAACTAGATAAGACAGGTCTAATGACACTCACCATTATATAAAGAGCCCCCCTCAGCATATTCCATCACAAGGCACACCTGAAGGAAACGCATATTGAAATTAACCAGAGCTATAACATCTTAAAGCCCTGCCAAAGGTAGCTGAATTCAACCAGTGAGGTTATTAATGAGCTTAAAATCATTCTTTTGGTCTTTATCATGTCACTGGCACAAAAGGGAATTAAAAAAAGGTACCTATGTCTAGTTTTTATGTAATTAGATTGAAAAATACCTGGGTTTGTGAGTGTTTCAACAGATGGTTAGCTCATGAGGTCTCTGACCTAATGAATGAATTAATATCCTAATGAATTTATAATATGATGGCATTATTAGGAAGTTGTGAAAGGTAGGAATTGGGGGAAGCAGGTCACAGGGGAGCATCACTGAGGATTGTCTTGCCTTGGTCACCTTCTGTATTTCTTAGCTTTGTTTCCCATCTGTTATGATGTGAAATGCTCTACCATGATAGATCGAGCCGTTGAAGCCATAAACAATATAAACCTGTCCTCCACTAAAAGAAAAAAGGAACTTATGACCTAAGGCCTTGTCTTCTAGGAGCCCACTAAAAATGGCAATAAAAACATGAAAACAATCACAAGATCTTGGGAGATTTTTCTAATACTACAGGCTATCAAGAGAAGATGAAGTTACTGAGTAAGACTGCCTAAAATAACATTTCCAATGTATTCTTTTCCTAAAAGAGTAGGAACAAATAATTTGCGTAAGATACAACAGTATTTTAAAAAATATAAAATTTAAATATAAATATAATTTTAAAATATAATTTTAAATATAAATATAATTTTTAAAAAATAAGATAGCCGATCAAAATAATGCCATAAATTACACAGCTCCATACATCTGCCATGTCATTCTTCATAGAAAAGAGAACAAGAGAAAAGTGGCGCTGTAGCTCAAGTGGTAGAGCACTCGCCTTGAGCTGAAGAGCTGAGGGACAGCGCCCAGGCCCAGAGTTCAAGCCCCATGACCGACAAAAAAAAAAAAAAGAGAGAACAA